CCTTGAAGTTTTTAACAGAATTCTTAGTACTTTTGTCTTTAAAAATAATTACATAATATACCTTCTTAATTATTGGACCTTTTGGAGCTTAGAAAAGGCTTGTATAGCTCAATTCTGCTTGATTTTGATGTGGGGATAGCAATTAGGGCAACATTCTCACCAATGGGTATTGTTTCTGCCATAAAGCTGTCACCCTTATTCACTTTTAATAATAGACAAAAGATTGAAAATGCAGTCATTTCCAAATATTTGGATGCACAGCTATTTATATTAACATATAACACCACAAGAAATTCATGAATATTTGTTCCTACAAAAATTTCTAGCATTACAGCATCTTTACTGTATCTCATCTTTTATACTAGTACTAATCAAGTTCAAACTATAGAAGTTTTATTTTATTTTAAAAATTGGTAACTTAAAGAATACATTTATTGGTGGTGTTAATTATGTCTTAATCACATTGAGTAAAGCAACATTACATAACTTTAAATATATCTGCTTCACCGCACTTAAAATATCCTTGGTTATCGTTAAGAACACGAAGGTCCAACAAACTTTTAGTATCATCAAATACCATTGTCAATACATAATTGAGGAATTCTCTACACCCCATCTAGCAAAACTAACACATAAAATAAATGATATTGAGGTATTGCTCTTGTCGATCTAGTTTTGAGTGAGTTTGTTTTCTCTATCAAAATGTTATAGTTCTATAAATTTGCATCATCTCCTTTCAAGAAGCTCATTGTGCTATTTCGTCTCAAACCTCTAAAATTATATAAGCTTTCTTGTGCTGCAAGACAGGTTGGAGCTTTTGTTCTTGTTTTCTGCTTTGTATCTATCGATATAACTGTTTGGCAGTTTGTGCTCATTTCTTCTCCCTAATATATTTGTCATTACCCTGTCTTTCGTGGAAAAACAACACAACAAACATGAGTCACAGCCAAATCAACTACAAGCTAGCTCAGTCTCAACACTAGTCTCAAAGTGGTAAAAATAGAAGGCTTGGAACACTGAATTGTTCTGAACAAATATAAAACTAAAATAGTTAAAATCTACAGCGCCTATAAAATCTAATAAACCAAATACTAAGGTACTCACCGTAAAAAAATGAAGTGAAGATCCATTAGATATGAGTATAAACATAATAAAATAAAAAATCTAAACATTGCCCTGAATAAAAATGCTGTAGACAGATCATATGCAAGAATTATCAAGTTGATAATTCCAACAAAAATTTGAATTACGCAACATGGACTGTATTTTTTAAAAACATTAAAAAATAATTTAAGTTGGCTTTCGAATAAATGCTCACAGCAGAATAGTTAAGAAGCACATGCCTTAGTGCAAAATTTGAAATAAAAATAGCTCAAAACGCTTCAGTGCAAATAAACTCTCGAGATAACACAATGCACTTTAGTCCCACAATTAAAAAAAAAAACAAGCATAACAACTTATGCATCAGATTAGGTATGTCAGGTCAGAACCTAACACAATAAAGCTTGGATATGTGAATTCTTAACATATCCGGAAATTCAGAAAGAGAACGTTTCTATTTATAGATCTAAATTTGCCAATATGACACAGTAGGTATCTCAGTCTTCCCATCAAAATACCTATCTACTAAATCTACCTTATTTAGCTTGGTAATCCAATCAATCCTATGATTAATAACTGCTACTTTTTCAAACTTGTAGTTCAACAAAAGCATAAGATAATCAAGCTTTATCAGGTGAATTACTAATTTAACCCAATAAATAAATTTCGCACTTATTAAAAAATTACCGACATATGCAGGCTTTTTGCAAAAATATTTTATAAATTCAGTATTTTGATCCACCAAATTTCACAACCTAGAAAGTAAAACAAGAACTATGAACTACAAGTATCAAAATAGTGGGAGATCACAGAGTCATGACGTTTTTAGTAGTAATTAAAATCAAAATCTTCAACAAAACAAATGAAGATAAAAGGTCCGTTTGGAGTAGAGGTGCGGCACCGCACCGCAGTTTTATCTGTTTTAGATAAACTGTGTTTTGACATCTTTTTTAAAAAACAGCCGCTGAAATCTGCATTTTCTCACCGGTTCAGGCTAGGTGCGGTGGCAACTTTGTAGCTGCTGTCTGACTTTTTAAAAAAAAATTGTACTGGCCACCGCAGCTTTTTGAATATCAGATTATTTTTCAAAAGTTTCATGATTGCTTTTCAATAAACTACAGCTGCCCCCAAACAGAACGAAAGTTATAATGTTAATATTTTATTGAATACTAACCTAGCCTTGACATTTTTAATTAAGAAAAAGAATCCAAATTTCAATTGCCATCCTTAAGCCCAAAACAAATTATTAGATATTAAAAGAGGAATCACAGCCAAGTGCATGACAATCATTTGTTGATGAGAGGCAAGCCAAGACAAATTTAGTTGGTTTCTGCATTAATTCACAACAAAAAAAGAACCAATGAATACAGATTAAAGGAGAATAAGAGACTACATCGAAAGAATACAATTAAAAAGAAGTCAAATTTTGGGTGATTGTTGTTTATAACGGCATTGTTGAAACATTAATAAGGGCTAACGAGGATACTGATAATGAAAAAGGGTCCATATTGAATTTTTTCAAAGAGCATAAAGCATTCACCCATCATAACAGCTGCATGTGATAACCAAAAATACAAGTCTATACTAAAACTTGCTCCCCAAGTTTATAACAGCACGAGTCATGACAAATATTTTACCAATGCATGAGAAAGATTACAGAGTTTGATCTTAAAAACTACATTAACATAATTATAATTTGTAACTAGGATGTTTGATCTCAAATATGTTTTTTTTACCATTAAATAGAAACAAGGTAATAGTAATTCAAAATAAATCAACCATACATGGGTTTACATTAGGAGGCAAAACAAAATATGAACAAATTAAAAAAATGAATGTTGCGGCAATGAAAAGCATGAAAGATGCTAACTACAGATAAAAAGTGAGCTAGACTACGATTCAAAAGTAATTATTTTAATGGACCAAAATAAAATACAATCGCACCTAGAAGAATCCACAGTATTGTTGCTAGAAGTAGCATGTTCAAGCCCTACTATATTCCACTATACTAATCCTTTATAGCACAAGCAAAAGATCCTCCTCCAAAAGTCATTTGCATTGAAGAGGGAGCCATTCCATTTAGTTCGAATTGAAATGAGACATAACAGTAAATAACAATAGCATATGCTTCAAATATTTACACTACTAATGAAAAGAATCTTGGAACAATAAAGACTCACCCGTTCATTTAAGAAAGTGAATCACATCCCTTCATTTATATATAATTTCGAAGTAAAAAGCAAATCAGATTATCTATTTGTTCACAAATTTCCTATTCTATCGATCTTAATTGCATTTCCATCATTTCATTAAAATAATAGTTGTTGAATCATTATAATAATTAAGTAGAAAAATTGTTCTATAACTGCTATCATATTTTTCTACAGTTTTTTACCAAAACATGTACCCTTTTTTATTCTTTTTTGCCAAACAGAGATTTTATGAACTTCCAATCAAGTTCCACAGATATACATATTTGCGATGGAATTATGAGTACAAGAATTAATATTTATCTTGAATAAAAAATGGTGACAACTTAAAGGATTGCTAAAATCTCACTTTTATTCTGCTGACAAAGAAAAAGAGATGTGGATTTGATTGGAACAATTGAGAAAAAAACAAAGGCAAAGTGTGCAATAAAATATGCAACTGAATTTTAAATGCAAGCAATTGCATTGGATATTTCTTGGCAATACAAGTTTGCTAATGAAATATGTGTCAAGGTTACATATAAATCTCAAAGGAGAAATCAAGAAGTTCATAGTGTAAAATATTTTTTAGGAGAGCTCCAAAATCATCATCATAAAGAAGAAGTGGGGTAGCAATAGAAGCAAAAGCTAGAAATTTCTTCAAAATTGAGGGCCGAATAAGAAAAGTAAATCATAAAAAAAAAAAAGTAGACAAGACCCTAGTGCCACGACTACAAATTCCAATGATATAAACGAAGATGGTTGGAAGCGAGCACTCAATAGCAAGTGATCAAAAAGACTTAACACCTTGAGAACAAAAATAAGAAAGCCCTTCCACTTATAAAGAAGATTGAAGTCTTGTTAATGATGATGAGAAGTTAAGGTGAAGAAAAAACTCTTAAAAATAAACATTCAAGCAGACAGTGTTACATGTGCTGTTGTTGATCCTAATAGTTGCAGGAATCTCATACATGCTACTTTAATTGATAAGCTCAGAGTATTAGCTGCATCCTACCAAAAATATGGTGACACATTAATAGCAAGTTTGATATGGTAAAACATTTCAAAGTAAAACTTTTCATCACTGAACAGTTTATAGATAAGTTTACCCATGATATTGTTCCTCAAGATTTGTCATGTAATCCTAATAAATCCGTATTTTTGGGATAGAAATGTTATCAATTAAAGGAAAAAAACACACACACACAAATCTTTATAAAGCAAAGGAAAAGATATGTAGTGCCTAGTCCTATTTCAGTTCATTAAGGCCCCGAAAGAAATTGACCTTGAGCCAAAACTACAAAATCACACAACTACATCCAACAACACAAAAACCTCCATGAGATTCAATGATGTAATATAAAATGACGAAAACACCCTCCCCCCTCCCTCCCTCCACATTAAACTCTTGGGTCGATTAAATTGTGGTTTCTATTAACTACACATCAACTCCATCGTAAGTATAGCCCAATAACCTCCCTTATGGTTTCATTCGTAGGTTGAACTCTGATATCTGAATTTTGATAAAAAAAGAAAGCACCATCAAACTTCATCACAAAAATGAAGTTTGGATTGGAAAAAAAATAAAAAAAAAAGTTAAAAATTTGTTCTATTATATATACTAATGAGAGATAAAGTGCCGGAAAAATGCAAAACAAATCGGGAAGAAGAAAAAAAGAGAGCATAAGTATGCAGAAATCAGAAAAGCACCTGGCACTGCAGCTGCGTCTTTACGACATCTAAAGGCGTAGTCACAGCCGCTGCAAGCGCCCCAGCCGCCGCCCCTGCATGCAACAAAAACCTTTCATCGTCTGTGTTCTCGGGAGAGATTTCCATCAGCCCTCTTTTTGCAGCCTCGTATGTTGCAAAATGCACCGCGGTGAACGGCGCATTCATCAGCACCGTCGTCCGGTAAGAAGCGTAGAATGCCCGAAAGCCTTCCTCCTTCAAAACCCTCCGCACGCAATCGGCGACCCCCCTGTACGGGCTGCTTCCTACCTGCAGACGCTGCTTGACGGTGTCCATTGGCGTGAAAACAGCATCGCTTGCGACTGTGGCGAGAACACCAGCGGTCGCGTGAGCGGCTGGATTGTTCGGGTGGTCTTCAGTGAGAAGGAGGCGCTTGGAGATCTCGTAGACGGAGAAGTAGGCAGCGTGGGCAGGCCCTGCGCCGAGTCCCATCGCAGTAATGCCGCGGTAGAGACCAAGGAAGCCGTCAACGCGGATGAGGGAGCGGAAAGCGTGGCGTAGACCGGGAGACGGCTTGCAGGGGAGGCTGTGGGTCTGTATGCGGGTCTTGAGGGTGTCGACGGGGAACATGGCTGTGTGTTCCACTACTCCAGCGACGGATCCAGCCGCCATGTACTGCCAATAGACAAGGCCATCATGGGATGTAGCGAGGTCAGCAGCGGCCGCTGCGGCCGGGGGGAGAAGATCCGGGGGATGGAACTTAGGAGACGCGTCGGCCATGCGAGAAGTTGAGGGAATGTGAAGCTAGTTGGGATTAGTTAGGTATACGGTGAGACGACGACGAAGATCACAACCTAGTCGCCACTACCGACCGTTTGACAATCTTTGAGTCGGTCTAGGCCTGCTGAAACAATTTTGGACTTGTCTCACTGCGTCTTTATCCGATTTTCTACTGCTGCGGCTGCGGAAATGGATTGGAGCTACTATTATCTTAAGAATTTTAATTTAGTAATAATTTCTTGATTAGTAATAATAACACCGAATATCCAAAAGCTGTCGTGGCATAGAAATTCTTAGTCAAATTTGCGTCAAATTTGTAACCATCTCGACGTACAATTTTCCATGTTTGAAGAGAATTTACCTTCCAAAAAACTTAATTTAAAAGTAACGGCCTAAAAAATTCTATCATAAAACAACCGTATATATGGCTGTTTGAATAAAAAATCCGGTGTGGAAAGTTAAGGACCAATATAACCCTGAATTCTTTCTACTTCAGATCACTGCAATGGCGTCTCTGTTTTCCAATTGCGGTCAATTCAACCACTTGAATCCACTAATAGAAGACTATACATCAACAACTTTCAAAAAATAAATTTCAGGATGAGCGGTGGGAATTGCCAACCCCGCAACCGCCTGAATGCTCTTCTACCTCGTCGGATCCACTTCTATGGTCGCCGGAGTCGCCGGAGAAGCCGGAGAAGCCTGAGTCAGGTGACTGTTGTGGTTGTACAACAATAGAATTGTCAACAAAGAGATGATTTCTATTTATTTTCGACATTTTTAATACCAAACATGGAACGTAGGTTGCAAAACAAAACTTGGTTTGCATTCTGTAATGATATAGGGTCTCTGTTGCGGTGGAAGAAATGTTCAAAGAAAATCCCAAATCCCATCTAAATTAAGCTTTTATGATTTCGCTGCGTCCGCCAAAACTATGATGAGGAAGAAGCGAGTTCTCAAACGAGGCATTAGATGTGTTTCAAACTTCACCACTGACAAAGCCCCAACCACCGGGTGAATTAGAGTTAGAAACTTGAGACCAATAGGATTGGCATGTAGAAAACAACCAGCAAACAACAAATTAGCCTTACATTTATATAAATGGTAGTTGTTAGTATCAAATTATTTTTAACTATTTCATAACACATTGGCTACTCTAATTTTCTCAACCATTTTCGATTAAAGTTTTAAGCAAAAAAAAGTCGCATTATATTTTAGTTATCAATGTTGATGCTCTATCTTCCAAATCACATAATCTTCCCTTTTATTAGGAGAACAACCTATTCAATTATCTAACATTATTTAATTTCTAATACTTGTTCTATAACATCACCCAAATTTTGCCAATGCCAAAAAATGTATGTTTGCTAAGCACTCTCATCTAACACTCATCTTCATAGGATCATTGTTTCTCATTCCATTGAGAATAGTTACATCAACCACGCATCATCGTCTAATTTCTAGTGTTTATTATTCATCATCGTCTAATACCTACAAATAATTGATGCTCAATATTTGCCAACGATCGATCAATATCCAATATATATCAACTATCAACATATGATATTCAACTTCTTGTCCCATTGATCATCGCCTAACATTTACCATCAATTAATGTGCAATGCTCATTCTCCAATCAATCTAATCTACTCTCGTATCAAGAAAACAACCAAGCCAACAAGCAATGCTTGCCTTCCAATGCCCATTGATATTAGTTGTTTAACATTACTCTATGATAATTTTAGAATCTTAAGAATCCTTTTACTTAGTCATAGAAGGTTGTACCCACAATAAAAAAATACTAAATTATAGTATTGTTTTAATTGATTAATAAGGAAGTTATTCCTCAGTAATCCTTGCTCATATTAGTTAATAGTTTCAATTGGGAAATGACCCATCAATTTTTTCACAAAAGAAAATATCGTGCATCATGTATGCTTCTCTTAATTTATATATGTGTGAGTGGGTCATTTGACAACTCTAAAAGGTTTACTATTGAGAACTTTATATCACATAAGAAATAGACATCATTTTTGAAAAAAAACATTCTCATCTTTGTTGATCAAACAAATTTAACATTGAAAAAATTTATACGCGCGGAGACTTTCACACCCCTTTTCAAAACATTTATAACAAATTAATCCTTATATAGTTATTTTTTTTAGGGTAACATTTATTTTTGATGAAAAAATATAAGAGCAAGACAGAATGTCTTCATAAAACCTAGTATAATCTTGAAAGGATGTTTATGCCAACGACATCCTGGGCATGATTGTCAAAAACTAACTATTTTTACTATTATTACTAAACATATCAATAAAATTTTACTTCGTCTAAAATATTATCATAAGCAGTGAGGTGGACTTCCTAGGCTTTGGCAATATTTTATAATATATCAATAGCATATGCT